CGGTAGATTCAGGAAAAGTCGCGGACACTGTCGATACGGTACTTACTTAACAGACAGCAGGGGTTTGGTTAATTCGAATTTAAATTTCTCGCACATCGCCCGTGATAGTATTATAATCATGTTAAACCGCTTATTATTCAGAAAGTTTACGTTTGCGACACGAGCGAGCTTGCGAGCGAGTGGAGCAAGATTATTACGTGTGAATAAGGGTTATTTATGACTTTATAGGTTATACGGTTAAGTATCATTTCCAATGTCTCCGATGGTTGCAAGGATTGCGAAATCAGTGAATTTTTTGTAAACACATGTTACGCCCATTGCACGTCAAAATTTAAAAAAAAACGTAAATCTGCAATAGTAAAGCCACAAATCCCTCAAACCGGTGATTCAATGAATGAAATAGGGATTTACGATTGCAAATTTTACTTTTTTGACAGTATGTACGTAACTTGGCCAGCTTGTTAAAGAAGTTGTGGGCAATTGACACACGAATCGCAGTATAATCGTAAATTCTTGAGATCACACTGGCTCTTGTGTGAATAATATGATCACATAGGTATGTGATATGACCCACGTGTCGTCCTTTACTAAAGACACTGATGTCCGGTTTCACAAACTATGATTAAGGTTAAAATATTAGAATGGAAAACATCTGAGCGTATAATCAAAGGTGGCTAACATTCTAATATTCTTAATCATTAATAATAATAATAATAATAATATAATAATAATATAATAATAATAATAATATTTATTTTACATGCTACTACGCAAAAGCGCTTACATTCGTCTAAAAATATATAGTAGAGATTACAAACAACGTATATCAACTAACAACAAGCAAATAAATAAATAAACAAATCACTAACAATTAGAGATTACTAAACCCATCGTGAATACATTCAGTGGTGGAATAATATGCTTTATTAATAAGGTGTCTTTTAAGAATTTTTTTGATTTGCACTTTGTCAAGATTTTGAATATGCCTTGGGAGCATATTAAAAAAATTTTGTGCCTGATACGAATGGTGGTTTTGCGATTTGGTTAGTCTGCAGTATTGCGTTCGAATGTTGTCTTTATGCCTCGTATTATGATTATGATAGCTCGAGTGCGTTTGGAAATCCGCTTGGTTGGATTTAGCGTATAGAACACATTCTAGAATATAAATTGATGGCAGAGTTAGTATACGCAATGCGCGGAATGAGTTTCTGCAGTCAGCTCTATAAGGTACTGAATCCAGTATGCGAATAGATCGCCTCTGTAGAGCAAAGACGTCGATGGATGAGGCGCAGTTTCCCCAAATTAAAATTCCATAATAGATTATTGCGTGGACTAAGGCATAATATGCAGTTACAAGCGTGTTCTTTGAGACATTATTTGCCAATCGCCGTAAGACATAGATGTTACTGCTTATTTTTTTACAAGTATTTCTAGTATGCATTTTTAATGTTAACGTAGCGTCGATATGTAATCCGAGAAACTTAATAGATTCGGGGTTATTATAGGTGTGTCTCTTTAATGTGGACAAGAGTTCCACTGTTTTTGTACGATTCAGAATTAAATCATTTGCAGTACACCATGTGGTTGTAAGAGAGAGTAGTACATCTCGTATGGGCAAGACATCCTCCAGAGTTTCTCGGTTTATCAAGAGCGTTGAGTCATCTGCGTAGAGAATGCAGTCCGCATACGGTTTTATATAATAAGGAAAATCATTAAAATATATTAGAAAAAGCAGTGGACCTAATATTGACCCCTGCGGTACTCCTCTTTTAATGCGTAATTTATCAGAGATCACTCCGTTAGTAGTCACATGTTGGAATCTATCAGACAGATACGATTCTATTAGCTTTAGGCTATTTACGTCAAAATTACATATTTCTTTAAGTTTACGCATTAGTATATGATGTGAGACACTATCAAACGCCTCAACGATTAACCTTAATCATCGTTTGTGAAACCGAGCATGAGACTAGCAATATAACATCAAATTTTAACATTAATGCACTTGCAGACGTAAATAAATGTAAAGGAAATGAAAAGTTAACCTACAATAGTAAAAAAAAATAAGTATACGCGTACAACATATATTGCCACGAATTTTATTATGTCGGTAACTTTTGTGAAGTCATAAAGTAGCAAAATTTTAATGTTACACACATTTATTTTTGCCAGGTTGGAGCGTTTCTGCGCCATAAAATAGTCGTAATAATTTAAATGAAACGTACTTTACATGTTCGCCTTACTTGCAGTGTATGTAAAAAAATTCTTTTTCAGATGGCTATTATCCGGTGATCCTTGAATAACCACTTGATTATTACGTAGGGATATCTACTTTTTGAGACCATGGTGCATGACGTTCTTTAGTCATAAAATGGATCGATTTCGTTCAAGCTACTATGCGACCCCAAAGTTATAGAGCAAAGTTTGCTCAAAAGCGTAAACCCCTGAAATACTTAACGCTGAAAAATTAATCCCTCGCATACTCGGTCCCAAGAAGCCCTTACGAATGCTCTGCACAAGAAAAAATTAGCAACCAAGTAAAATTTTTGGCCAGTAAAGCAAACTTGAAAAAACCAGGTCTATAATTTACTACTATCCTACAATGACATTTTATTTCTGTGGCAAAGCTTCTTATTGTAAAATCAGAATTGAATATTAATGTGAATAGGCAGCAGTGAGTTTTTCCAGGTTTCTGCGGCTTAGTAAGCGTTGAAAAAAATAGGAACATTATTTTTTGTCTCAAAAATTTTCTGAAAGTCCAAATGTTTCCTTCACTTCTCTCTAAACTAACGGCATAGGATGTAAGACTTGCACTTAGGAAGATTTTGTTTTGACGTTACAAATTTGCAATTATATAGGAAGTTTTGTACATGTACCGTTTCATAACAAAAAAGAACAGGACTAAAAGACAATAGAATGAAGCACTTTCAGATAAGAAGCGAGTGTGCAAGCAGATAAGACTTGAAACGCCACAGTGTTGACGGTTCTAAAGATCGTTCTTACGGAGCATGAGGGGCCAATCTTCTGCTATACCCTTACATGTATAACAGACGTGGTTGGTCTTCATCGGACCCGCTTATGTTTTTGCACTCGGCGACTATATTAGGACAATTTGGGCGAGGGAAAAAACTCTTCCCCTAACCTTCAAGGCGTACCTATGTTGAGCACTGCGTTTTTATGTCGATTGAAATTGGCCCATACTTATACGATGCTCTGAATGGATAATAAGGCTTCTCCCTCGAATACCCCCATGACCCCAAAGATTAATTACCATGCGACAGAGATAAGACAAGCTCCTACCGGATTCCGCTAAAAATAAACCCCAAATGTAACATCGAAACAAACAAAGACAATACCAAAGCGCGTGGTTGAAAAATCCAAATACGCATAAATCGGATCAAATCCCACAAGCGGCATCAAGACATCAAATTTTACATCCGCAACATTTTATAAACGTGACTAGATATGGATACTTTAACATTCTTATTCTTGACGTTATAGTCCTATCACGTTTTATTGCTCTATGGAAGCCTTCACATGTAGTCAGACTCAGAGGTGGTTTCACACACTCAGATCGCATAAAAAACATGCGTGCAATGCAATCGTCGAATCTACAAATGTTTCATTTGCTATAACTGGCTTTCGAATTATTATTTTCACGGGGATAGGTGATATTTCGCCTTCTTCCGTGCCGATACCTGTAATTATTGTTTTCAGTGTTACCATGTTTAATGACCTTGGGGTGATTTGCAGTAGTCCTGTTGCCCTCCTCAAACAGTACAATTTCAACCTGTTTCTCTTGATCTGTGCAAACACATTTAGGTACTAGGATAAATGCTCAGAAATGCTGTTGCTACAGCTGGTACTGTAATATTGGTAAGTGATACCAATTTCTTAATTGCGCGAATTCCTGGATGGCACATACCGTGGATAATAAGGCTTCTCCCTTCTTGAATATTTCTTGACGTAGTTTTTGAAACAAATGTATTTGTGGAGTGAGGAGGAATTCGTTTCGAGCAATGGTTTTAATTTTGGATCATTTTTTTGAGCTTCTGAAAATATTAGGGACATTTTTTAATCCCGTGCATGCAGTTTGTGACGCGAAACGTACTTGAGGGCAACACGCACCCGGAAATTTCAAAGTGTCAGCGAATTTCAGTCGTCCGTGGTCAACACTAATTTTTTTTATGAAATGTCATGTAAATCTTTTAAGCCGTTTTAATGGTCAGTCACTTGAAAAAAGAAGAATCCTGTGATTCTGATCGCTCTGATGTAAAAAATGGCAAGTTTAATATGACTTTAGTTTTTACAGTCCCAGCTCTTCATAATTTTAAAACTTTCTTCAAATCTTTTTACTCATAATTACAGTTAAATTGCCCTTTATCCATATTAATTTTTTTAAAGCTGGGAAGTTCTTAGAATACATTCATAATATCTCTGTTCATATTTATTATAATAATTTGTTTGTGTCTACACTTGTCTACCCATATTAAAATGGAATACTACTCATGTCTACTAAAAATACGTTCCTTCTCCACTGCTATATTAGAAATTCAAATTATGTGAATTGCACATTTGGATTAATCTGGAAGACAATGGAGGCATTAATTTATTAAATATTAAAATATATTCAAAAATAAATAAAAATACCAAATATTTTAAAACATAAATTTATAGTGAGGAGTATAATGAACAGTAATCACATGGTTTAAATATTCAAAAATAAAAAACAAAGTTCATCTGTTGTATACATGTATAATGAAGAAAGATGCATTTATAGTAATCAAGTATGTATGTAACAGATTTGAAATTAATAGAAATTTGTCAATAAAATAAAATTGATCGATTATAGAATATTCTCTTTTTCGTGAATTATCTTTTTACACACGCGGTTAAACTATCAACGGGTAGTTGTAGTCCCTAGCCGCATCAACTAGAACATTTTTGGTGACCCCGACGTGATCTGTGAGTTGTTGGATAATTCGAAAACTTGAAAACCTATGGATCGATTAGAGAGAGCGCGTCGTCCTGTCAGGCGGCAGTTGAAGAAGTTGTGTGATGACATAAACGTTGAAAGCCAAAATACTATTCCGGATTTGGATCAGATGCGTGTGAATGTATTAATGTTGGAGGATACTCATCGGGAATTGCAAACATTGGACGATACGATCAAAAACCAAATGCTTGACGACAACGTGGACGATGATCAACAAAATGAAGAATTTGATGATATTGCTCAATATAAGAAAATGTTTCAAACAGCAAGGCGAGTGTTTGAAGTGCTGAGAGATGGAAAATGCAAATCCATAACTGAAAATGAGAACTTGCCAGTATTGGGTAATCAAAGAAATTTTAAATTGCCAAAATTTAACTACAAAAAGTTTAACGGAGAAGTCAAAGAGTGGTTAGGATTTTGGAGTCAGTTTAAAAAGATAGACGAAGACATTACCATACATGACAGTGACAAGTTTCAATTTTTGGTACAATTGATGGTAGATGGGTCCCGTGCCCATGAATTGGTGTGTAGTTATCCGCAGACTGCAGAGAATTATCCCAAAGCCGTAAAAGCGTTGAAAGAGAGGTTTGGGAGAGAAGAATTCTTGGTTGAAGTTTATGTGCGTGAAATGCTAAAATTAATTATTCACAATGTCAGTCAAACTGAAAAACAGGATGATTTGTCAAAACTTTATGACCAGTTGGAAAGTCATTTGCGTGCATTGGAGTCGTTAAAAGTAACTTCAGACAAATATGACTCAATGTTGTATCCGATGGTGGAGTCCTGTCTGCCCGCTAATATATTACAAGCATGGCAAAGAAGTGCGGAGTGGAAGGGAAGGATGCTGACAAAACCACAAATAAGTTGAATAAATTGATGCAGTTCTTACGTATGGAAGTTGAAGGTGAACAACGAATTTCCTTGGCTCAAGAAGGTTTTGGTTTGGCTTCAAATCCTTCGAATAAAGTAAAAAATGTAATCCAGAAAAAAGTTGAGAAAATTCCTACGGCAATGGAACTACACTCTGGAAATGTTAAAAGCTCTTGTGGATTTTGTGAAAAGAGTCACGATACTCAAGATTGTTTCATCGCACAAGGGTGGTCACTAGAAGACAGAAAACAGAAGCTTAAAGAGACAAAACGTTGTTTTACTTGCCTACGATTTGGTCATAGATCAAAATCTTGTAAATATCGAGTGAAGTGTATCGTATGTAGTAAGAGACATTATGTAATTTTATGTCCTGTTCTCCAGAAGAGGGATACAACATCAGAAAGTAGAAAGTGCAATGAAGGTGATAAGGATTCAGAAAATTTGTCTACGAGTATGGCGAGTCGTGTATGCAGTGGGGATGTAATTCTACAAACACTTCGTGTGAAAGTACTTGGAAAAAATACATCTAAGGAAGTGCGTGCATTTATCGACCCTGGAGCGCAATTCTCCTATATTCTGAAAAGTTTGGCGTTAGAATTAGGGTACCGTAAAATTGCAGAATCAACGTTTTCCCATAATTTGTTTGGAGGTGCATCTATAGTTTCTAAAACGCACAAAAAGTATAAACTTTACTTGGAAAGTTTGTCTTCCAAATTCCAAATGATCATTTTGACGTCTTACGATGAAGACAACATTTGTCGGTGGCGTTCCTAAGACTATTTAAAACGCCAATTTGGACACAAGACTAACTTGAAACGTCATTTATGAAACGACGTCGGTAGCGGAATCATAAAATCGAAAGTTTCTGATTGGGGTGATATTTATGGGAAGTTCGAACTGAAAGTTGCACAACTTAGAAGAGCGGTTAACTGCAATTGGACACTATTAAGGGTGACGTTTTGGGAAAAGTGAAAAACTTGTGGCGTGAATGGTCTCTACTAGTATGATAGTTACTCCAATGCTCAATTCGTCATCCACAATTACAAATTTGTGGATTTAGAAAAATTGGTATTGACATCCTCTGTGAAAAGCTACAAGCCGACAGTCGGATGACCAAATGCTGGGAACATTTTCGGCAGACCGATTCAACGGGATAGTACCGTAGATATCAAATTTCTCTTCCTTGGTAGCATGATCACTGCACATGCCACGGTACCTACAAACAAATTTGAGCGTCAGGAAGAAGGTTAGAAAATGCGACACAAAAGTTGAGCAGACGAAAGTACGATGGACTACGAACAGTATTTAACAATGAGTTAAACCTTGATGTAATAGAGAAGTAAATGAATGTGAAGTTGTCATTATTTACCCACCGACCGTGTACAAACCCAGACAGTAGCACTACAAAGTTGCACCGATTTGACGCATCTGTGGTAGTGCAGTGGCCGCCAAGTCTTAATCAATGTTGAAGCTTAAGGGCCCATCTGCTCAACCTTATTCGAACTCCTCTTACGCTGTAAGAAACGTCAGTCGCTGCAATGATAGGAAAAAGCATTTTGATGATTGAGTTAAGAAGATGATCAAACTTTCCTCGTTCCTGTGGGAGGATTCTTACATGTTCAGAGTATGATTTATCGACATAAGCGTGTCGTGTTCGTAACCGTAGTCCATTCCTTTTATCTGCATTATTGAATACCATTGCGAAGAGTTGATCAGCATCTTATCAACAGCGATAAGTTATTAACAACTTATATGGTTTGAAATGGTAGTCTGCATGTTTTGATAACGTCGAAGAATACATGAAATTCAAGAAACGATCAACGCGTATAATGGCAGAAGCGAAATTTTGTTCTTTCGAATGTGGAAAGTAACGTTGATGATGTTCGTCGAACAGCTAGTAGTTACCTACGTATTGGGAATGAAGTGATCGAGGTCTCATCTCTCTCTTTTT